TTATTAACAATAATATTTGCCTTACAATGTAGAGAAAATATTATTTTCTGTCATTACTTCCTACATAAAATAATATTTTCTTAATATAGCAAACAAATAATATTATATTTATTATACAGACTACATAATAAATATAATATTATTTGTTTATTATATTAAGGAAATATTATTTTGTGTAAAAAGTAATGACAGAAAATAGTATATAACTATTAATTTTTGATATAATATACTCATAAATGTTTGTATAAAACCGAATTTAAATCGTGGAAAACTATTGTAACGACGTCTTTCCTTAATGTGATGACTTTAAAATGGGAAAGAACCCGAACTTAGTTTTAAAAAACCGGATCCGAACACCATATTTCATAAAATAATCATTAACCGAGTGTTATTTTATTTAACGCAAAAACATGACCGAAATCTATAGACGATATTTAGTCTGAATACGTCTGACGTCGTGACGCGCACAATCAGACAAGCAAGCGTAGTAGGAATCGACTTAATAAAAATTCACAGGTGTTAGAACTCACAGCACGCATTTATTTTTATATCTTTAGATTTTTTATTAAACTTTTTAACTTTTTTTTGTTTGAAATCATTTATATGAAAATAAAATGTTAGTTTAGTTGCTTTAAAGTATAGCTTTATCGGTATAAATATTTTATTATCAATAAAAATTGATACGTTTTAGTTGCTGTGAGTTATGCGTTATAAAATGGTTATTAAGCAATGTCTATATTTACTAAAATAATAAATATCAGATTAAGTCAAATAGATTACGACTACCATATTATACTACACCTTTCTTTGAAATATGTTTTACAGTTGCATTTATCATATCATTTAGTCTAATGAACCTGCGGTTATTCGAAATTTTGTTTATTATAAGTAATTTTTGCTTACTTTTGATAAAAAAAACTTGCTATTTACAAATAAAACAAATGTGATTTTATTTACAAGACAGCCGTTTTTACAAATTTGATTTTTTACAAAAAAATCAGTTTTCGTAATTTTTTTCATCTCTATATAACTCCGAGTGTGTTAGATAAAAAACTTTCATCTTTATTGTCTCCCAAGTTTATATTAACACTAAAAAAGTAAGGATGTCTTTACTGCAATTTTCATTTAAAAATCTTTAAAGAGTAAGCTCTTTATAAGTAAAAGTTTGTTTTCGCAAGTTTCCATTTTTTCCTTTTGGTAAATGAGATTTCACATCCAATAAAGTTAAACATTAAAATCTTTTTTTGAGAACAGTGTTGACAAACACCGAGCCTCGTATTGAATAGGTTTTATAAACGTTTTTTAGAATTGAGAAGCAATCAAAAATTCACTACTATTTTATGAAATTTTTTATGAAATTTTTTGAAATTTATATATATATATATATATATATATATATATATATATATATATATATATATATAATATATATATATATATATATATGTATATATATATATATATCGGATTTATGAAAATTTCATGTAATTAAAACTAGATCACTTTAAAGTGCGTTTTCAGTTATCTTTTTATATTTTATTTTAGCATTATTTTTTTGACGACAAGTCGGAAGAGAAATCATCTGAACAAATTCATTTATCCATAGATTTTTTTAAAAAAAGAAAGCTCATGCATTTATCTAAACATCTTCATTTGTTCAACGGAGTTGAAAAGAAGTTAACTAAACCTGGACAAATAAATTTATCCAAAGGTATCAAAAATTTAAATAAAGCTTTGATGTTACAGATTTTTTATTGGACAGTTTGACCAGTGAAAATGCTAATGAACTTTAAAAAATGAAATGGTTTAAATAAGACTTTTTCATTTAACAATAGATATTATTTTCATACTTTTTTATTTAACAATACATGTTATTTGTTCACTTGTTAGTATTTTTCATATTACTTTACAAACTTCGTTTGTAAAGTAATGTGAAAAATACTAACAAGTGAACAAGTTTACTCGTTAGTATTTGTGCTACTTTTTCCTCTTTTAAATATAGTTTAACGTCATTGTTTCATTTTTGTTACCAAGTTTGCTATTTAAAAAAAAAAAAAAAAAAAAAAACTTTATTTTTTAGAATGAAATTAATGGAAATCGGATTTTCTTTATTACTTTTTATCATTTGTTATTAGAAAGAAGACAATGTTTTTATGTGTACAGCTTCTATTTTACTAAATTATTCTAAATGTAACATTTAGAATATCAATGTATATATGTTTAAACTATTCATTTTACTGTTCCATTTCGTCTTGTTCTTCGGTTTATCGTGCTTTTATTGTTCAAGTTTAGCGTGGGGTTTATTTGTGTTTGCCCGAAAATTCTATCATGTGGAAATCAGCCATCAAAATGAGACATATTGAAAAAAAAACTTTGTGCTTTGATGAGATTTCATGCGTTATCTATCCGAATCTTTATAAGGAATTATTTAGTAAAATACAAAAGAAGTGGAAAAACTACCAATAAAGGATGTTTTACTTTTAAAGGAAAAACTATTTTTACTTTTTTTAAGTAAAACATTTCAAATATTCCAAATTATACTTTCAAATTAAACTTTAAAACAGTTTTCAAATAGATACAAAATATTAAGAAAGCAATATTCAGTATTATGTATACAGAAATGAGACTTAATATAACTTAATAATAATTTTTGTTTTTCATTGCAGATCATAGTATAAACTAATGGCTAAGACTAATGTTTATTATCAAGTTAAATGCAAATAACTTGATCATGTTTTAGCAAAGGAAAAAATTAAAGGGTATCTCAAGAAACACCGCAAGAAAAAAAGAGAAGAATGCACAAACTTACCGAAAAGTAAAAAAGAAAGCTGAAATAAAAAAGAAAGTTGGAAGAAAAAAGAAAGAAAGTTTAATTGAGAAAAACAACTACAGATAAAACTAACAAAACTATTTGCTTGATGTAGTCATATTTACAATTGCATCATTATCAAGGGCTGTAAATAAAGTAAAACTAATGTTACCTGAAAAACTTTAATATAATCTTTATATGATTTTAATATAAAGATTATATTAAAATCATATTTAGGCCATTTTATGTTCTCTTTAGTTAAAATACGCCAGCAGTATACCCATGCACATATCACCAAACGTACGCACATCTATATATTATCAACGGTATACACATGCATCATTAAAATATAATTCTTGCACTAAAAAAGCTGAAAAATTGCAGTGTTAACATTAAATTAATATTCGTTACTTAGGTGCTCAAAGAAGTCTTAACGGTCTTATTACAGAGAATTCTAACCACTACACCACAGTTTCCAACTTTTTATTTAAAAAAATCTCCAAATACTTGTCTTCAATTTCCATACAACTCAGCGTGTTGGTTTAGTAAGTGTTCTTATGAAGAATGTAGTTTTAATAAAATTATCAATTGCAGTGCGATAGTCAAACCGAGGGTATTATATGATCAAATGTGCTGGTTTATGTTTACCTTTTTAATTCAAACCTTATTAAAAGACAGCAGCGCCAAAGTTTAGAATCTAACAGGATTACCCAAATAGCAAACAATATTGGCGTAATATTGGCACGATATTGGGTATCTTGGCTAATCTTGGCCAAGATATCCGATATTACGCCAATATTGTCAAGCAATATTACGACAATATTGTCTTACCAATATTGGCAAACAATATCGCGCCAATATTATCCATTATCGTTTTACTGATATTGTTATGCCAATATTGGCGAAATATTGCTTTACTGATATTGTTATGCCAATATTGGCTTTATGTTAAATTTTACATATTGATACGCATGCGTAACATTAAGAAATATTGAGGAATATTGACACGCATGCGTAACATTAAGGAATGTCCTTTAGTTTTGTTAAATGTGTTTGAGTGTAAATAATAGCATCTTTTTACATAAACAGGCATCCTTGTGTTATTAATTTTTTTACAAAAACAAATAAGAATTCAAAATAAAAATTTTAATTTATGAAAAGACAAGAAGTAGGAAAAGTATTTTTAATTCAACATTTACAGAGTGAATCAGGAGAAGAAGTGTTGGTAATTTATTTTGAAACAGATAGTATCACGAGAAGAAGTAGTAAGAGTAATAAAATTCTTTTATTCAACATTACGAATTGAATTACGAAAAGAAGTGGTTGTAATTAACTTAACACATATTGCATCACGAGAAGAATAGGAAAAATATTGCTATACTTAAGTATCAAGATTAAAATAGTAAGTTTACTTTTAAATGAAAATACTTTGAGAAGATTTCATCTATAAAATATAAGTTTTATAGTCTATTTATCTTGTTAAAGATATTCGTTTAAGAAATAAATACGTCATTATTATTGTTTCTAACTATTATAAGATTTTAATTTACGAAAAAGGTACCCCTTGACACATAATAACATCAATAATATATATATAATATATATAAATATATATATATATATATATATATATATATATATATATATATATATATATATATATATATATATATATATATATATATATATATATATATATATATATATATATATATATATATATATATTTATATATATATATATATATATATATATATATATATATATATATATATATATATATATATATATATATATATATTATTGACCTTCACACACACACACGCACCTAAATTTATTACAAAATAATAATTTTGCAATAAAAAAGTTTTTTTATGTCTTTTATTTGATATAGCATTTTATTTAATGCAATAGTTTAATGCAATGTTATAGGTAATAAACAAATCAATAAGTTAAACTAGATCTGAGGATTGATGTTGGACATTAGCCTTGGAGAATAAAACTGATATAGAAAATTTATATCAGATATATTGAAATCTTTCAACACATTTCACAACTCCTACTTCTAAAATTAAAAGCTTATAAAATAAATAACTAACTCTACAATTGGATTTTGATGTTACCAAAGAGATCGGCATTAGAGTATCATTGTTAGTGGTACATACTCAGAATGGATAATAGTAAACAGTGGGATCCCCCATTATTAACTTTTATGATAAATAATAAAGATTTTTCTGATTTGGTTTTAGATATTGGTTGATACTAAGTTATACAGTTTGCTTTTTGATAGCTCACCATGCAATATCTCAATATCTTGACATTTCGTACTTTGTTTATTTTCCTTGTTCGTCCTCCTTGATTCTTGCAGCTCTGTCTACTATCCTAGACTTTAAAAAGATCAACAATTAATTTAAAATGTTCTATGCTAGTCTAGTAAATTTGTTTTTGGCCAGACTGGACTCACTTACAACCAAAGACTACTGAGACTAAATTTAACTAGCATGAGCTATTGTTTCTTATGTAATGACATGGCAGAAACTTACAAATGCATTCACAATCTTTATAATTGTAGTTGCAACCCTTTTGTTTCCTCATAAAATACCATTCAGTATTTTATCTATTAACACCTGTGTCAGAATGATGTCATCTGCACAGCCATTATATTTATTATTGTAATTACAGACTATTAAGTAGTTAATCTGAGTTGTAATAGCATGCGTGTTAATATGGCCACTTCTTAATATCAATATATGATTATATATTTAGTTAGTATTTATTCCTCCATTATGACTAACTCCAACTTAACAACATGCAATCATTCTTATAAATTGAAAAAAATGTTTTGTTAGACAGATGTCCGGAAAAAACATTTCTAATATGGAATTCACAAATTTGTAGAATAGTCTACCATCTGAAATAGTGTTCAACATCTGTCACAACATTAAAAAAACATCTAGATGCATCTTGGGTTCATCAAATGTACAATTGCAAAATGGTAAATATTTACTTAGAGCCTCAAGTTGTTTATATTCCTTAATGTCATATTTAAATAAGAAAGTATTATCATAGAAACCTTTCCAAACTGCGCAAACTTTAAAATTCACTTTTTTTTACTAACCAATAATTAAACTCTACTTGCAATAAAAAGCGATTACATTAAACATTAAGAAATGAATCTCAATAATTTTTAGACTAATATTTTCAGTTAAAAAAATAATAATAATCTCAAAAAAAAAAGTTAATCTGAAGTTTTTTTATATCATAAATTTATTTGTGATTATTTTTTAGCTTATGCACCGTTAAACTGAAGGTGGTAATAAAGTTTACAAAATTTGCTGTGGCTGATTTTTTCAATGAAAAAAAAATATGTGTGCTATGAATGTAATCTGTTTTTCATGGCGTATCAATGAAAGTTTGGTGTATTGGCCAAATCACTTGCAAGCATATAAGCAACTGCCATACGTAAAGTCACGCCTTTAAAAGTAACTGAAATCAGCTGAAAATAAGAATTTTTTGGTAATTGTCTTATTTACAATATTGTTTTAGTTTTATTTACAGTATTGTCTTTGTTTTTTATCTAAACAGCTATGTTTGACTCAAATGTAGTAAATGTTGATTGTTTAGTATGGTTTCATCTCTTCTTTATACATTTTTTGACAGTTATGAGACTGCTTTAGAACAGAATTATCTGTGCCTCCAGCTTAAAAGGATGCAGGTTATAAAAAAAGTGACACTGATGAGATTGTCTCTCAGTTTCTCAAAGATTGAAGGAATCTTTAGTGTTTTAGGGTTAAGTGATTCCATCAGAGCTTTGCTTGACTATCTCTTTTGATTTATTGAATTTATATGCCGGTTATAGATGAAAAAAGATCTTTTAAACCTAGAAGAAGAATTATGGAGCATTGACACCTTATGAATCAATAGTATATATCAGTGAATTGATATTAGTTAATAGTTTTTGGAAACAGTACCATGTACTATTAAAGTTTCTAGTTTTTAAAATATATGATACATTTATATGAAACATACAAACAAATGATACAATATGATATGTGATTTACTATAATTATGTTGTATATCAGAATGTTTTATATAAATGCTTATTATATTTTATTGTGATTTTTATCTTTTATGCCCAGTTAGCAACATATTTTGTGTAGCAATGACTACTAATCTCAGATATCTTTGACATCTGTAGGGTGTATTCACTGCTACAGATGTCATAATCTATTTATAACCAATTGCTTTTACTCTTCCATAATGTCATATTTTAATAAAAATCACATTATGGAAAACCGTCTAATACATACACATAAGGAACCATTATACTTTTAGTACAACCAATTATATTACATTTGTTTTCTTATTTTAGATGAACTTTCTTACTTCGGTTGGAGAAGATGAGAAACAACTTACAGTGGCAATCTTAATACAGCTAATGGCCAAAGAAGTATGTTTTTCATACTCAGTGTATGGAATGAAACAAAAACGTCCTGCAAGGTCGTTATAGGTAAAGCACAATGTTTGTATTCTACATCCCATTTCCTTTTAATAAATAAATATTTTAATAAAAGCTAATTACTTCACAATATTTATACGTGAAAAGTTATATATTTCAAAATTATATTGTGATGATATTTAAAAAACATTTTGTAGAGTTGCGTTTAGTCGTTTATCGTTGTATTCGTTCATTTCGAAATCGCTACTGACAAAAGTATTAAAGAAAAAATTGGCAGCTTTCTAGCGACGGCCATTAATAGAGATTATGGAAGAAAAATAGAACCGTAACTGAGCAACGCCCAATATTGAGCAATGAAATAAGTATCGCCAATATAATGAAAGTCGATGCCCACTATCTCATGGTGAGAGTATAATACAGTAGTTTATATATATATATATATATATATATATATATATATATTTATTTTTTATTTTTTTTTTTTTTGTACGTGTATTTAAATAACATTGATTTTATTTTGTTTATATTTTGGTTTTGGAAAACTCTGTACCTCTTTTTTTCATAATCTGTTTCATATAACTTCAAATAAATTTAATGATTTCGAATTTTTTTTTCTTAAAGCGTGTTCTATGATTATTGTCATCTCCTAGACCATAACTTGTTTAACTCAAAAGAATAATGCAGCCTAGTACTATAGTATCACTTAAACAAGAAAACTGTTAGTAATTTTAATTATTACAAATTTAAAAAAGGCAATATTTTTTATTATTTTTTAATAATAAAAATTTAATCGAAAATACTCAATATATTGCCTTATTTTAATTATATATATTATATATATCAGGATATATTGTAAACTATATTAGGCCGATATTGGCCAGTGTAATATCCCCATTATTGACGCGATATTACTTACAATATTAGCGCAATATTATAAACTATATTGGGCCAATGTTGCAGTGTGAACATTTTGCCAATATTGGCCAAGAGTGACTTTACAATATTGGCGCAATATTCTGGCGCCAATATTGGCAAAATGTTCACATTGCAACATGAGCCCGATATAGTTTACAATATTGCGCCAATATTGTTTGCTACTAGGGTAGCAACAAAAAAATAAAAAATAAATGGAATAGCAGTGATGCAAATGATTACGCTGAAAATTATAAATATTTTTCACAAGATGAATTTCAAAATGTTTGCTGGAGTCAACAGCAGGTAACAATTTTTACTGACATAGTTTTAAAATATGAAACACTGTTATGTAATTGTAAGTGATTGTAATAAACAAGATAAAGAACCGTAGTTAGTGTCTCTTGATAAATTAATTCAAAGTGTACAAGAAGAAGTTAATGAGTTAATAATTTGGACAGATGGGCCTGCAAGTCAGTTTAAAAATAGATCGGGTGAATAAAAATGGGCAATTGCTTTTACTCAGTAATTGGTCAGCTTTACGTAAATAAAAACTTAGGCAGTTTTGAATAAATTTTTATTCATGTAAAGTTAACCAATTTATTCGGTAATTGCTCAGCTTTACATGAATAAAAATTTTACCAAAAATGTTAAAGTTTCTATTCACGCAGAACCTGATTTGAAGCAATCTTTTTAACAGTTGCTTCTAAGGATCAATAAGCCCTTTATCAGAACTAGTTGCTCAGTAGTTCCATTTGACAGCAATTATATACTTGTTATAGAATGCTTAAGCACCTGTAGTAATAACCATATTAGGCCGGGTAAATAAAAAAAAGCAATTGCTTTTACTTAGTAATTGGGTAGCTTTACGTGAATAAGAACTTGAACATTTTAGGTTAAGTTTTTATTCATGTAAAGCTGAGCAATTACCGAGTAAATTGGTAAACTTTACATGAATAAAAATTTATGCAAAACTCGCTAAGTTTTTATTTTCGTAAAGCTGACCAATTTCGCTTCCTTCATCTTGCTTTCCTGATTCATATAATTTGCAATCTTTTAAGTCGTCCGTCAATCGTTATCTTGCTCTACAATCTTTATCTTTTCTCTTCCAGTAACTTCCAACACTAATTAGTGGTTGCTTGCAGCCTTGTTGGAAGCAAAGATGATTAAAAAAAAAATTACTGAGTAAAAGCAATTGCTTATTATTATTCACCCGGCCTGATAACTTTGAAAATCAAAACTGATAAAACAAAAAAGAAACAAAATTGATACAAATAAGGCTGGGTGAATAAAAATAAGCAATTACTTAAACTCAGTTATTGGTCAGCTTTACGTGAAAAAAAACTTTTTTTCACGTAACTTTTTTCAAGTTTTTATTTGCGTAAAGCTGAGCAATTAAAAAGTAAATTGCTTAATTTTTTGTGAATAAAAGTTTAAGCAAAACTGCTTAAGTTTTTATTCACGTAAAGCTGACCATTTACTTAGTAAAAGTAATTGCTCATTTTTACTATTGAGGTTATTGTCCATTTTATTAAATATAGATTTAAAATTTTTTAAAGAATGAAGTTATGACTTTAAACAAAAATGTTATAATTTACCATTAATTGTTTAAATTCTACAACTAACCACAAAATCGGAGTGAAGAAGTATATACTGAAAAACAAATAACAGATGAAGTATATAATGCCATTATATAGATAATAGTCTAAGTACATATTTTCTTCAAAAAAAATATTTAAATGTCTGTTTGTTTTGATTGTTAATAATTTATTTCCCGAAATCAACATTTATTTCTGTACCGTAAGTAACAACAGCTAGTTTTTTGTTTTGCTGTGTAAATATATACAATCCGTATGTTGCTAACAAGATATATAGAAAGCAGGTGCGAGAAGAACACTACTATGTCTTATCGCCATGCCCTTTGATAAATTCCGTAAATATAAAGTTTAATTTAAAAATAAGTAATTCTGTTAACTACTCAGTTCACCAGCCCAACTGGGACCCAGCTGGAGTTGACTGGGATTGAGCTGGAATTACTGGGATTAATTAGCTGGGAAAATGGTGTAAAAATAATATTGCAAATAAAATCTGGGATTGGCATGGGGTTTCCGTAAATGGTTTGCGCTGGTTTGAAGAGGAGACGCGTGGTTTAATGGTATTTTCTAATCAAAGCGTGTATTTTATAATCAAAGCAGTTTTTTTGGCATCGTTTTTATCAAAAAGTTTTTTTTTTAAATAAAATTACAAAACTTTTTTAAAATGTCATATGCAGTATCGCGGCTTGATTTATATTGAATATACACTTGCATTTGGAGTAAATATACGCAGGAAGTTTATTTGGTTTTTTTATTGTATTTTTGTAAAAAATAGCTACATGTCATTTACATGTCAGTTTTAATACTAAAAGTGTAAATATGTTAAAATCTGTATTTAGTCATCCATTTAAAAAACGATTTCACACACACAAAAAAAAAATATGACATGCTTTCAAATTTCTTAAATCTCATGCATTTAAGAAATTTGAGAAATGAAATTTTAGACTGAACTTCAGACTGAATTTCTGAGCTATTAATAAGTTTGTGATATGTTAACGTATACTTTTTTTAGACTTGTAAAATGTTTTATCAAACTAAAGGCATATTCTGTAATAATGCAATAGACAAATAATGAAAATTTTTTCAAATAGTTAAGAGTGGTTTAGAGTGCTTACAGTAATGGTTTAGTGTGTTTAATTTTAATTTTTTTTTCAAATAAATCTTTAAGACTTTTTGAAAAACCTTTGAACTTGCTATGTTTTGTAAAGTGGTTTTGACAAATTTTTTTTACAAAACATTGCAAAGTTTTACTATGTAACACTGCCGTATATAAACTTTACATATTACTTATTTTTACATAGATTATTTAATAAATGGTTTATGTTTTTATAAATAATATGTAAGTTTTACATACTTAAGAAAAAATTTAAAATCATACATTTATCATTTGTTAGATTTTACATATTTTGAAAGTAATATAATTAATATAATTCTTATATTATAAGAAATATATTATCAAATATATAACTTATAGAAAATGTTAAATCTTACATTGATATTATGCATTTATAAATGATATCTAAAGTTTATATATAGCAGTGTCACTTAGTAAACATAGTAATACCTTTTTTTTTAAAGTGATAATATTTATAATTTGAGTTATATTATAAATATTATAACTTAAATTTTAATTTGTAGTATAAAGTTTTATATTCAAAAAAATTTTAATAATTTATATTGCAAATTATTTGCAATATAAATTATTTAAAGTATAAAAATATTTAACTGCCCAGTTAACCACGATAACTGGGTCCCAGCTGGGATGTAACTGGATTACTGGAACTGAGTTATGGCTGGGATTTAAACTGGGTGAAAGATGGATTATGCTTGAAAATATGATAAAATCTTTTAAAATGACATACAGTAACACAGCTTGATTTAAATTGAATATATATTTGCGTTTGAAGTGAACAGGAACTTAATTTAGTTCTTTTTTAATATTTTTGTAAAAAATAATTATTTACATATCAGTTTTAATTTTATAATAAAAGTATAAATATTTTAATAGCAATATTTACACATTTAAGTTTAAGAGTATGTCAACTTTTTTACAGACTTGTAAAATTTTTTATCAAACTGAAGGCATATTTTTTCTTTTTTTATACGATAGGCAAATGTTAAAGTTTTTTAAAGTTAGTTTATATGGTTTGGTGTGCTTACAGTTATGGCTCAGTCACTAAGTTACGAAAACGAAATACACAAAGCTAGTGTGTTTCGTATTAAATTATCTTTTTCAAGCAAAACTCAATGTCACTTTACAAAATTTGGTAAGGTTTTACTAAGTAACACTGCCATATCTAAATTTTACTTATTATTTATAAAAAGATAAATGTTTTACTTTTTCTATAAATTATATAATTAATAATATATTACTTATATTATAAGTACTGTAACTGATATTATAAGTTATAGTAAAAGGTTTTAAATGAAAAAATGTTTAACTTATTTATATTGTAAGTTATTCGTAAATAATAGTAAGTAATAACAAAAATTATGAGGTGTTTTAACGTTTAACTTTATTTGTCTGTAATAATTTTGTTTGAATATATTTATTTATTAAATACATTTTTTAAATTCTTTAAAATATAAAAGTGTATATATTTAATAGCAATATTCTGACATGTGTTTAAGAAACAATTTGGTTAGTCTAAAAGAGGGAAGTGTTAAGTTTTAAGGTTTTAATATGTTTTTTAATTAATTATCAAGGATGTTATATAATTTTTTGAGAATATCTTGTGAAATAAATTAAATATACA